TTTTTTTTTTTTTTTGTATGATGTGTGGTTAATGGACAGTAGGGAACAAGTACATATGAGTTCTTTTCAAATAATTGAGTCTTCTTTATCTGGACACTGAATACTAGATTGAGTGACACTCTCTGGCTCCTGTTGGGGGGCACAGCTCCTCTCCTCTACTGTACAGCAGGTGGGATGTTGCTATAAACGACACAGTTTTACACATAAAATAACTTTGTTTGGGGAATAATACCCTACTGTCATTTTATGTGTAAAACATCATTTTGAAAACATCCCTATTGTACAGCAGAGGAGTCGCACCCCTCCCCTCACACTCACCCCGCCTTGCGGGGGAGTGGGGGAGAGGGTTTTTAGGTGGTCCCTTCAGAAAGTACAGCTGCAGTCAATCCAACAAAATCACCAAAAAATACATGACCTCGATCCATTTATAACCTCTGACAATAGATGAACAAATATGCAAGCAAAGAAAAACTAAATAGTATTATCCTGGAGATCCACTGTAAAAACAACATAGTTCATAGAGTTTGGTACTTCAAATTCCGGGTAGAATGTCCCTGTTCAAGGATCCAACTATGGTACCAAAGTCTTATCCCCCTAGTCAATTGGCTGATGAAATATTGAACTCTGAACTCGTTGTTCAACGAGCCATAACTTGGAAGAAAGCCAAAAATCAAATGTTCATGGAGATGGGCAGATATTTATTCTTGAAACTCTTCAGTTTGAAGTACGAAAATAAACGAAAGATCTGATATAACAGAGAGTTCAAGAAGGATTGAAAGTCTGGGCTAATGAAGTTCTTAAGCTGTTTTAGTAAGTTCAACAATGAAAAGTAACATTGCCCTTACAATCCTACAGAGACAGGCCACTGTATTGGACCAAATACACTGAATAACGATCACATTATCTTCCCATCATATCTATCATGAAAACGGGAGATCAAAAAGTATAGCTTACTACCATACCCACGAGGGAAAAGGATCCAGAGTTCATAGGCGATATTAGGATACTCGTATATCTTCTCAATAACAATCTGATTACACTAAAATGATTCTGCTTGACAAGACAACAATGTGAATTTAGCTCATAACACTAGAGAGATCTTGAATCAACTCTCTCATGATCAGTAAACAGATGCACATCATGATGCCAACCGTCGCACAGAATGTAAAGTTAAACACCTAAACAGTCAAACAAGAACTAAGAAGCTATGGTCAATCTAATCTCAAATCAATTCAACTCAACAAGCCCCAATCCCAAACTACATGTTTTCAACTGCATGGGTCTACTGCCTTTACTTCGAATTTCAATCGTACACCTTAGTCTAAGCTTCAAAAAAACAATGCAAACCACCCTATCAAATTGGAACAGGCTTGCTTACCGAATAAAAGATGGAACAGGCTTATTAAGTTAAACAAAATTTATCCCTTGATACATATAATCAAATGCAAATATCATGCACCAGCTAAGGAACCGAGACCTGGGATCAAATTGCAAGATATGATGAATGTGAATGTCTATAACATCGTATTTGTGCCACTGGTCATGCAAGCAGCTCAAAAATGTGAGACTCGAGGAATAACAGTACCAAACAATTTCATATATATAGCAGGAAAAGATAGTTATCCAAACTTCTTGGCCAATGGTTTCGGACCATGCCAGGAAGGAATTGCACCATAACATTTTCCTCTGAAAAATGACATAAATCCACAAAAGATCTAAAAGCCCCAATATTGGAAAATCCTAAGAGGACAAGGGCAATTGCTACTAAATTTTCTCCATTGCTTGAGTTTTTTCGTTCTTTTGGCTACAAATTCTGAATCTTCTCCAATTGTACAGCATTTCAGTAATGCACTTTTGCACATTTTCTCCATCTTCACAATTCTAAGACAGGCAACAGAGACTTATCACAAATAAAAAGAAAGAAAAAACATAAGCAACAGAGGAATGCCTTATCATCCATTTGGTATTTCAGGGTTAAAAAACAAAAAGCAGCAAGTGATGGTAACTCAATATAGATATAGGATTTTCAGCATTTCCCTTCGACCCAATTCCTCCCAGAACCAAACAGGGTTAAAAGTAAATACTAAAAGAACTTTCCGGGAACGTCTTTTAATGTAGGGAAATAATGGTCAAACATACACTCCGCTGAATCCACACCAGATCAAACACCAAACAGACTTTACAAGAAAACCAGCGTCCTAAATTTCCTCTGTCTATGGCATCGTACATTTACCAAAAAGAAGAAGGGGACAATAACATAAAAGGCTCCAAGTGGTCAACTCACACTTCAGAAGGCAAGCATGTGGTAATAACTGCAACAAATAATATGCCTTGAAGCTTCTTCAGCCTAACTGAAAAGGCATGAAGTTCACATACACCTTTACAAATCATGTCAAGGACTTAAAAATTGTCAAAAGGTTTAAACAACGTTATATGCTAGGAACTACATGCAAACTATACAGTGAAAATGAGTTGTGACCCTGATGGCAGAAACAGAGGATATGCTTGTAGCATGCGAGTATTCCATGATATCAGCATGTTTAACAATAATTAATTTTAGTGGAACAAAACACAGATCCTTAATTAAATGGAAAAAAAACATAAGCAGTGAAAACATGCAGCCGTTGAAATAATGAAACATGAACCCAAGTTTAAGAGTATAATAACCCTCCTGAAGAAGAAAGAAATAACAACTCAAACTGCTATCATCCAGCCATCAGGCCATCACCTGGACAGCATCATGGGATGATAAAAATGTGTCACATGGACAATCCAGATGAGTCAATTAACTACAAGTGACCAATGTGAACATGGGCTCATCATTAGCTAGTTTCTACAAACTACCAGATTGAGGTTCTTGTAATAAAGGAAAGGGAAGAGGTTTGTAGAGAATTAATCGTAATTCCGCTCAAATGTTCACAATTTTCAAGGAAATACGCTGGTCCTTTTTCTGTGGCTAATATGACTCATACTCAACACCAAACAATATTTCACCATCCACTTCAATTTATACCTAGACATGTGTGTGTATAGAATCAACAATATCCATCACACAACTAAAGAGAATCTTCTCTAGCATTAAGAACACCCACATAAAAGCCCCAAAATATGCATATGCAGTGTTATGACAAGCTGTGTCGCATGAAGTCAAAAAAACAATTCATACACTTTCGATATATCATTCTGCTTCAAACATGATAAACAAAAGCAAACCACAGATGAGACACCACCCATTGCCACTGCTTCAATATCATCTTCCAAATCATGTCTCTGTCATGTTGCCAAACAGTTGATCCAGCAATAGTAACTTTCATGTTGCAGGTTTGCCATAATCTTCCATTCACTTCATCTACTAAAAGCTAGAGTCTTATGGCAACCTCAGGTCTTCAAAGTCGGTTTCTCTTTGCAATGCCTATTCAGTTTCTGCATCCTCAAGCGATGGTATCTCCAAACCATAGAATTATTTGTCCACCGCTACCCTTTGTTAACTAAATTTGAAACCAATGTTCGGGTCTGTCTTTAATTTTCCAAAGCTTATTCCTATATAAACTTAAAAACAACCCCTACCCCCAAAAACAAATTAAAAAAATAGAAGTGGTACTAACTACTAACTACAAAAAGTATCTAGTTGATTTGAAATAAATTGAAGGGAAAAGGCCCCTAGAGCTTTTGGGGCGATGATAAAAGAGCTATATCCGCCAAAAATTTTATATCCACAACTGTCCTTTATAAAGAATATTCTTGAAGTACTTTTCATGGAGTTAAAAAAGCAAGGGACATCTATTTATGCATATGTATCTTCTCAAACATATAATTTGCAACCATGATTATCAGGTCAGATATTGTTGCAGTAGTACAGATTGAGCATACTTCCTTGTAAATGTGGAAGCATGAAAATTATGGCAACGAATGACTCAGACAGGGCCTATGACAACAAGTCCAACATTCAAAGCATATAAACTTCAAGAGAGCCTCTAACAACAATGGAAGTTTAGAAACCCAGCACTCTAGTCCTATAAGCACCAATTTTGTCAAATTATACAATGAAGTTGGAAACACCAACGAGGTAAACTAGAAGATTGGTTAGTTGCCCACTGATGAACAGTACAGCTGATTTTTGTATAGAATTCTCACATGAGGACTCCCATTCTTTCTAAGTATCATATCAGAAGGTTGCCATTATTAAAGTATTCCCCGCTTCTTCTGAATTCTGTATCTCACGCCGCTTCATACATTACTATGAAAGCAATAAAAACTTACACCTAAAATACCTGACAACAAATATGAAATTAGAACCCAGTGATCAGATAATAATATAGCAACCTGTTTGACAATACAAGACAGAAAGTGAACATAAGAAGAAGGCAAAGGTTTGAACTTTAAAAAGAAAAGAACATCATCAATAATTAGCCCATCAATTGCAGTAATAAATGTATTTAGTACATAATTCCCCAAAAGAAGAACCGTTATTTTCTCTCTTCAAGACAATGCCATGACAATTAAGGATCATAAAACCCAGAAACTAAATCTATGATTCTTGAGAAAAGCTTTAGCAAACACTAATGACAACCTATCAATGTATTGCTCCTTGTTATTAAAGCTATCCAGTGCTGTGTGACGCCAACCTTTGAGAATTCTCATGTCACTGAAAATGGGAAAGACAAGTTCAATGGAAGAGAACACACATAAAAAGTTCTTAAAAAATGTACTCGAGAGCTCTTTCAAGAGAACATTCTGTTGAGTCTTGAGTAAATCTGGTATTCCCCCCATCCTCCCCTGCTCAAAATGGAAAAATAAGAAGGAAAAAAAAGTTGGGACAAATTACCCAATTAGCAAATCCTGTGTCTGAGGAGAAACCAATGTAGTAGATCCAATTGAGCACAACAGCTCACCAAAATACAAATTTTCAGCATCCCATCACAGCACAATTATAAACAAAGCTACCGGATTGCTTCCGGCCAAGCAAGTTCCACTGGGGTGGGCCTTCAGTCGGGACCCATGAATTAACTTCTATAAACCCTTCACCCATAGCTCTAGGTCCGCCAATAACAATAAGCCGGTCTCCACATGCCCGAAATGCCAAACCCCAACCATTCATAGAAACAGCACGTTCGGGCAACCTCCCCACAGTGATCCACACCCTCGCATCTTTGTCATACTTCCTGACCTCCATATCAGCATAATCAGCTGCATATAACTCATTATTTACAACTGCAACCAGAGGTGGTGCCTCAGATGTAGCAGGCGTGTCAACTTCTCTGGCTGCACCAGTGCGCACAGGGGACATGTCAGGGATATCTGTCCAAGTCCTAGTTTGCAAATTATACTCTTCCCCGCATGTGAGAAGTTTTGACTCAGTTCCTCCAATCCCTCCAATCACATAAAATTTTTTATTCATGAATACCCCAGAACACATCTTCCGTGGTTTTTTCATATCTGGGAGTGTCTCCCAAGTTCCACTCTCGGAATTATAAAGCTCTGCTGAGCTGAGGATTTTGCCCTGTGAATCACAACCACCAGCTAAAATTGCAATCTCCCCAAGACTGGCAGACCCAAACAAACATCTTGGCGTTTTCATCCTCATCCCAGATGACCAGGTGTTTGTCAATAAACTGTATCGGTAGATGACATGTGACAGCACTTCTTTTCCAAAAACAAGAAGCTCGGTGCCAACAGCCAAAGACTCCTTATCCGAAAACACGAAGCACTCATTGGATGTCATTGTTGGTAGACGCATCCAACGGCGACGTGTGGGATCAAATGCTTCCCATTCAAGCAGGTGGCAAGAAAAATAAACCCAATGTTCAATCACCTCATTTTGCCGCCTTAGTCTATAGAGCTCACCACCACTAATGAGTGAACGGAAGTTCCGATTCAAAGATGCAATGGCCCCATAATCAGACCTTGAGCAACGAATGAGACAGCTAATTGAATTGTCCCGACCAATGGCATGGATAAGAGAACTTGAATCAGAATTATCACCAGCATGTCGCCGATTACCGGATTGGTCTGTCGGGGCCATCAACTTGTCATAAAATTCCAATGAAGATTCCACTCCTTCACGAGCATCTAATTGTTTAGGCAACTTCCTACTACCAATTTCTTCACCCCCTTCATTATCTAATGGCCTCTTGCCACCCCTAACTTCAATCTTTTCTAGCATGTAATTCATGCAAGCCCAATTGCTTTCGCGCTCACAGGTCCTAGGATATCCCCTTGAAACCAAATAGGACCGGTCTTCCAACATGTCTTCGGAACTCAACCTCGAAAAAGTACCACTTTCACGACCTTAAACGGATCCAAATCCTTCTTTCTTCCTCACCAGAACCATACCCACCCCAAAAAATGGGTAACCGAAGCCCCAAAAACCTGGAAAACTTGGTCAAAATACAGCAACATCCTATTCAAATTCAGAAAGAAAAAAAAAAGGGATATTCTTAAATCATAAACGGTGAAGAAAATTTAGAAACTTATATTGTTCATCGTCAATATTTCAATAAATTAAGGAAAAATCAGTAACGCCTTGGTTTTTTTCAATAAATAAAGCAAACCACAGTAACGCAAATGTATAGAAATCTGAGGAAGAAAACTAAGTTGACAAGTCTTATCTAAAAAGCTCACTGATCTGTAACCAATAAATAACGGCCCAGATCAAATGGGTATTAATTAAATAAAAACCAATCTTTTAATGAATACTTCAACTCAACAATCCCGGAAAACCTCCCACACAATCAAATTCATCAAATAATGAGAAAAACCCAGAACCTAAAACACTTGAAACACTACAAAAATCAAATCTTTCAATGAAAAAAGCATTAAAAAATCACCAAACAGCAAATTTAGCCGACCCAGATCTCTAAAACTCAGATCAGAGACGACCCCCTTCAATTTCAGCAACAGTAATACAAATAGATCTGTAAATGACTTTATGATTATTTAACTCTCGACAAATCAAACTTCCTATAGGTAAGAAGAATAGTATCGAAATGGAAAGAGAAATCGAGAAAGATAATAATAATACAGGCGAGGGACTTACGGGTTATTGGATAAGAAGAAAGAAAGGAGGAGGACTTGATTGGAATTATGTGAATGCAACAATCTCTTTCTCTCTCTCTCTATACATGTACATGTTTTTTGAGTGGTGTTTCTCTCTCTATATATATAGGTCTCTGCAGCTTCAGTTCTTCGCGTTCTGGCTCTAAAACGTCCTTTGGATTCTCTCTGCAAATCAGAGCAGGCTTTGGTTAGGGCTCTGGGGCATAAGCATACCCTTTTGAGGACCCCCTCTCTCTCTCTCTCTCCATAATTTATTTTGGGCAATTTTTATATAAAAATATACTCCAATACGCATTCATTTATAGATACAGAGCTATATATGTACGTGATGGTATGTATATAATTGTTTTGTTTTTCTTAATATAGAGGAGAGAGCAGGAGGAGGGTGGTGGTGATGGAGGGGAGGGTGGTGGTGGGTCCTACAACAGGTTGGAAACTTTGGAGGTTGGCTTGGCTTCGCCGTGGTCGACGTTTTCGAAGGGGGTAACCGGTGACCGGAGATAGACGGTTCGCCACGTGTTTCCGCGTGGGATGAGAATAACAGGACTCCGTTTTCACTACGTCTTTTGTATACCATTCTCTCTCTCTCTCTCTGTTATGCGATATTTTTGTCTGGTCAATAAGTCGGCATATTGTTCAATTTCTCGTTCAAACAAGGGTTTTGATCGTATGTGTCGAAAGAGTAGGAGTAATCCTGAAGGAGGCGCCCTAATAGTAACAAATATAAATTTTAAACTTAAACGTATTGAGTTCAAATTTTGACAATTCTTTAGAATTAGATCATGAGAGATAAATCTCACATAAATATCTTAGTTCTAACGTGAATGACTTATTTTTTACCAGATCCAAGAAGAAATTAATCGAAATAGAAATAAATTAACTCGGACACCCCTGATTATTATACCAAAAATAAGAGAGAGAGAGAGAGAATAGGAGCAAATATTTGGTGTAAGTATGTGGTGTCACTATTAAATAAAAAATTTATAAATAAATAAATTGAATTCAATTTTTTTATACATGATAGTTATTTATTAAATTAAATCTGGTCCACTTGTTTATCTGTTGATTTATTATTAATTAGTGATACTATATAATAACGATGACATAATATCGTTGTTACATTTAATATTTTCTTCAAAAGTAATGATGTTGGTTGGATCAATACGTTTTGCTAAAAAAAGTGAATGTGACATATAGATTCGACATTTCACATTGATTTAAATTGATAGACTATTTGGTAAGTATAATATAGTTCAAATCTAAATATTCACTGAAAATTAAATATTGGCTTAACTATTCACGAAATCAATATATAGTTTATTGTGTACTGTTTTAGTCTTAATGAGTTTAGAATATACAAGTTAACTTGTCAAACTGTCTCCTAAAATCACAAACCCGATTATACGTGATACAAATTTGATTGTTTACGACAGAATCTTATAATAAAAAAATGACTATATTTTGATTGTGTATAAATTGAGTAAAATGTGAGATGTATGCACTTTGAAAGGATCTCTTCATTCTTGGACCCCCTTTATTTTTCCTCTTGGAGGGGTTTGCAAGGCAGGATCATGGAGTTGGTGAATACCTATTTTATCCTTACCATTCATAACAACAAAGCTTCCACTATCCCCCTTTAGTCTCATGCCATAGAATGTTCCAATTATTGAGAATAGCAATAAAAATATTATTGCCAAAATTATAAATAATATAACAATATTTTCATATGGAAAAATTGCATTATCCAATATTATTGAAAAATTGCACAAGCTTGTTTCTTGCCATATCTTTTATAGGGATTAATTGGTTTAAAGTTTGGATTAGCGCTATCAAATTTCACAACCTAGAGGCATAGTAATAGTCCCAATTTATTTTATTTTTATTTTCCACTTATTCAAATTAGACCCCAGAGGTTATCGTCGTCATTTCATTTTTTTCCTTTTCAATTGTCAAAACAAAAGGAGGTGCCGATAGTTTTATTTCTTTTATCTTTCATTTGGTACAATGAAAAAAATGAAAGAATGAAAAGTTTAAAAAATAGATAAAACATCATATTTAGTAAGGAAAGATAGAAACAGTGGATGGATGAATTTTTTTTTCAACTAACCAAAATCAATCTCTCCAAAATTAGGCGAAAAATAAAGGAAAATATTACTCACGTTGAATAAAAATATGTTATTTATTTTTTCAACCTTTAACTAATTACTTATTTAAATTAAACATCTAAACCCAAATTTATATAGTAATCGGTGGAATTATATTATGTGTTAACACTATGTGTGTGTGTTTGTATATTAGTGTGTTTATTTTTCATTTAAAAATTAAATAAAAAATAGATATACTTTTATGTGATTTGTGTTTGTTAAAACACATAATGCATATACCAGAGTGACATGGTGTATAATATAAACACTAATCTCATATAAAAATAAAATAATAAATTGTATATGTATATCGTTTTTATCGTTTTATTTTTTTTATCAATATTAAACACAATAAAATAATTATTTTTATTTTGCATCTGTTCTACCAAATATAAATGACATAAAATATATCATTTCTACTATCCCTCAATAGAGAACATAAAATATATCTCTTTTACTTTCCATCATTCCTGATGATGCACAAAAATAGTTTTGCACACCACCTGTCAAGTGTAGATAATAAATGCAATGAAATCAATGAAAAAATTGAAGAAGACACAATTTATAGTGGTTCGGTCAATTCGACCTACGTCCACTCTTCAATGGCTTCAGTTGCCAGGTATTTTATTGATTCAAAGGTATGGAGAATGGAGATACAAGCTTTGAGAGAGAGAATGGAGAATCAAAGAAAATAGTAATCTCCGGTAGTCGGTTCGTCCTCTGTCTGTCTTTAGTGGGGCGTGATTTTTTTTCTTCTACCAAATTGGAGCTATTTTATAGCAGCTAAGAGATCATCCTCCTGGAGATCATGACATATCCTCAAGGCTTCTTTATCGCAGCTAAAAGATTATTCTTGGTGGAGATCACGACTTATCCTCAACGGAAGGAGGAGGTTGGGGAGCTCTTCATGAAACGTGGTCAAAGATAGGACCGTTTCCTTCGGTGGTACAGATATGCTTCTCGTGCTCTCCTCTTGGTGACGTGCTAAGCAAGAAGTCTAACCGGCCTTGGACTGTCTTGGACTTGGTGGATTTGGACCGTTTCCTTTGGTGGTGCAGATAAGCTTC